TTCATAATCATTACCACTCTTAAGTGTACACTTTCTGTCTCATTTCTTTATTATTGCAATTGATGTAATTTGAAAATTGATATACCTCATTACTTGCATGTCACCACACCACACTGTTCTGCCTTCCCACTAACGTTAAATACACCGTTTTTTCTACATTTTTTTTTTTCACTTAATGTTTATGTATGCATTGCTAGGTGAATAATGTTCAGAGGTCTGCTCACTGGTTTGTTACTTTGGGTTTTCAATTTCACTCCTGTGTGCGTGGTGTCAGAAAAAGCCATTAAAAGAAAAGTATCACAAATGGTTATAGGTCTTATAATCAGCCAGCAAGTAGATTTTCTTTCTAGAAAAATATTTAATTCTAGTTTCCATGCTTAGCATTGCTAAAAGACCTTGGGAGAAGGCAAATTCTCCTAAAAACTTGCTAATTTTAAAGTGTGCCTTCTTAATCTGTCACTCCTGTGTTGTAACTTTTACTTTTATAATTACTTTATAATTTACTTTATAATTCCTATCATTATGTTGTTATTTTGAGGGGCAGCTTAATGGCACAAGAGAATAGAGATAGGTAGGAAAAATCTGATTAGATGCCAGAAAAAAATTCTCAGTGAAGATCAAACATTGGAACAAGATGCCCAAAGAAGTATTAAAATCTCTGTCCTTGGAAATATTCTAGATTTGGCTGGATATGATCCTGAGCAACCTGCTCTGACTTCAAAGACAGATCTGCTTTTAGTGGGGACTTGGACTAGAAGACCTCCAGAGGTCCTTTCCAAACTAAATCATTCTCAAATTCTGAGAATATTTTTCTCTTTTGTCAATAGTTTGCAAAGAAAGTGCTAGTGTACAAAGGCGTATAAAATCTGATTTTGTAAGGCTATCAATAAAATTATAATAGCAAAGTTTGCCCTCTGAATATCCTTTGCAACAACATGGAGTGTTTCACCAAACTACCATAGACTGATTTCACCGCCATTGTACCACAGAGGTCACTACTGTCTAGCCCTGGCTAATGGACCTAACTTTTGTCTTTCTGATGAAAATAAAGCATCAGCCTCTGCCTTTCACTGTACTTTTTCCTGGCACTTTATGGGTAAAAGTAGCCTAGATGGGCATCCTAGTGAATGGTTTGTTCTACTTCCCAGCAATGGAAGAATCTTCCCTACTGCATACTGCTGGTGCTTTTCCTTGTCTCGTTTTAAGTCTCTCAGATGCCAAGGCTTCCACCATTTCTTTTGGCACTCTGATTATTAAACAGCAGAGAGAACAGCCTTATGAAGTTTCCCCAATGTCAATCTAAGTTTTCTCTTACTATCTTTTTCCTGTTACTCCTAAGTCTGTCTTACATATGATATTAATATACCTGTCCCACTCCTTGGTGTTTAAATATTTAATCCATTTGAAATTTGTATCATGAACTATGGTTCATCTTATTCTTCTAGCAGCTTGCGTGTGATCACCTTCCTTTTCCTCTGGATATTACTCTTTGTAGCCATTTTTTTCTTTGAAGTCTTGCCGTCTTTTTTGACCATTGGGCATGTAGAACTAAGCAGAGCTTTCCAAGCCCGAGCCAAGAAAAATTTAGGTTATTGTTTCCTTGCTCTGTGTTGAGGTACCTCTGCAAAATCAGGGCAAAAGTGCATTTTTCTTTCCTCTACTGAATTTATATTACAGCACAGCTGTAGAAATTTATCATCCTCGGTCACAATCAGGGCTCCTTCAGCATTACAACCTCCCTGTGGAATACCCTGTGGTGTAGGTGTGCTATGGATTGTCAGGGGTGATCCTTTAAGATAAGTTGTTAGGATTACTGGGTTCATGTTTCTCCTCAGAAAAACAGAAATAGAGGATAGATGTAGTGAAATGCTCTATATGCACTGAAACCAGCCAAGCCATGGATCTGGCACCAGCATAGCCTTTCTTTCAACATGTTTAAAATATTAATAGATACTACTTACATGCACTGTGAAGCATGGACTATGTGGAGATTTTCATGCAGCTCCTAACTCATGTCAAGAGCCGTAAGAAGTTCAGCTGATGGTCTTGGATACAATGAATAATACTAAAAGTGTGTTGAGCAAACAAGCAGAGAAAGGGAGAAGAGAACCAAACTCAATGCTAGAAGTGGGGATGGAGCAGGGCAAGGAAATGGTAATTCCCCAATTTAAGTACTATCCAAATTCTCTTTCCCTTTCCTCCTGCCAGTCTCCAGTTCTTCTGTGTCCAGCTCTGAGGAGGCCTGAGTGCATGTCTGTACGTGTGTGACCAGACTGTCTGTGCCCAGAAAGACCACTTGTACCCGCTTATCTTTTGGGTATGTTCTTCATTCAGTGCTACCAACAATGTGTTTTCGTTTAGCTAGGAAAAGAACATGTTCTACTTCACTTTGAACCTCCCTTGAGGGAAAAGCAAACAAACGTGTTTAAATTGCAAGAAGAAAAAGTTCACCAATTCAAAATAGTCTGATAGGTCTCTAAACTCAAAACAGAAGCATGGGAGGTTTGCCCACCGGTATGAAGATGAGAATCTGAATTGTTGGACAGGGCGGCCAGCATGCCAGCAAAGCTCTCCCTTCGCTGTATCAGGAGAAATCAAGGCTCTTTGTTAACTGACAATTCATCAGTCTCTGGCACTGATCCATCCACAGGCAAAAGAGCCATGCCTCTACATTTCTACTTCAGTTGTGGTGAGACACGCAGACAGTCTTGCAAACAGATAAATATTCAGCCCAGTCCCTGGGGGCTGTTACCACACAAAGTCTGACCTGAGATACACTGAATGCAGTGTCCGTCATTTGGAGACCCGTCTATATCTGCTTCTGTTTATTGTGAAACCCGACTGTAGGATCTATTGGATAAGACCGCCTTTATTAAGCCTCTAAATAATAGCTGTGCTGCAGTAACAAGCCAGTCACGTCTGTCAAAAGCTTGGGAAAAGCTGTACTCAGTTCAAAACAGTACTTTTATTTCCAACTTTTTAACAGAGACCAGCTTCTAAATACGATATCTCTTTGCTCGTGTTTCTGGAAGTCAACCTTTCTGACTGTTTTTCTTTGGCATCTACTTCTCCAGCAAAGAATGACCTTAATCATTTTATAAAGAGTCAGTTGTTTCTTTCATTTCACAGTTATTAGTAGAGCAACACTTAAGAATTGGTTGGTGCTTCCAATATATTGCAGTATGCCCCACCAAAGTTAGAGGAATAATGAATTTTTGTATTTGGACACTTCTTTGGAACAGCACAAATTTTCCCTTTAGCTTGTCTGGGGGCTCTGCCCTGCTGTGTGTTTTCTAGCAAGGTTTACACTGGCTTCTCTTCTTGTCCTCTGTGCTGAGTGACAGCAAAATGGCTTCCCCTCAGTGGGCAGAAGGGTTACGGCCTTTTTGCTTGTCCGGCATCTGCTGACAAACTAAAAGGCCCCAAAACTGAGGGGCGGATTTCGTAAAGGTGTACCAGAGCTTTAAACCAGCCTGCAACAGAAAATGAACTAAGCAAGGGTTTTAGAAAAAATGTCTGCTGCTGCCAAGTTTGGGAGAAAGGGAGAGCACCATTAGATACTGTAAATGAGCCCAATTTTCAGATGGAGATTCTGAAAACCTTTAAAAGCGTATCAAACCCCTTTCAGATGTTTTCTGAACAACCATTTTTTTTTCTCTCTCTCCTTTTTCTGTGCCCGTTGAATACTGCCAGCTGTGTAATTGCAATGCATAATACCTGAATATCAACTGAAAAGTTGCTGATGCCTTACCTGGATCTTAACAAGAAGCTTCCCTCTCTGATACCTTTGTGATGCAGGAAGAGGCATCCTTGTTACTGAACTAGATGGGAGTGGACGTTTATTTGTGAAACCATAATCTAAAAAAACTCACTAGATTTTATTACAGGGTTATTTTTTCTTACTTGTGAAAGTTTTTGGCAAAAAGAAAATTACCCAGAGATGAAAATCTTGCCAAAGCAGGGTTTCCCAATATATATCAATATAGACTGCAAGGAAGATACTAAGATTCTTCTTTACTACAGTCTAACAATGTCAGCATAGCTCTAGGGATACAGCAGGCCATTTTCCCCTCTCAATCTCTGCACTGAATTCCCGGTTAGAGCTTTTCTTGGGTAAAACCAGTAAGATCAGTGCTAGGGTCTTCAGTTTCCTAACATCTTTCATAAGGAACAGACTGACATTCAGCTTGACTCTTTGGAGCTGGGAAGCCCCACCTAGTTCTGCATAATCTCTAGTGCAACAGAAAGGATAACCAGCAATCTGTGTAACAATTCAGGAATTTCACACAGAGACAGTGAATTTAAAAGTCTGGTGAACATTTGTGACATTAGTAATTTGCTGCTTATTGCAGTACCTGGATCTTTGCTGTGTTAAACACCTACATTACATTTGCCTCGAACACTTATATAGAAATCAGGCCCTAAAATAAAACAGAAACCCATCTACGCTGTTCCAGTCAGCCTCTTCTCTGTCCTTAGAAATGAGCTGGCTTGTTCCTTCTCAAAATGTGCTTTCTCCCTGTTGAAAACTTTTCCACTGTGAACTCAGATAATTAGTTTAAAATAGTCTCTTTTGCCCAGCAATGACCTGTTGTACAAAGTCTGGCTGTAGCATGGGGAGAAAAATCTCTTTCTAGAAGAACAAATGTGACTATCCTCTTCTTTTCTCACCTAACCCCATGTATTTTTTAGCAAACCGGTGGGGGTAAGTAGAAAGCAAACTATTTATTCAGGCTTTTGTATTGTGTTATCAGTATAGCAGGGGCCATGGAAAGCTTAACTCCAGAGAAGTTTGCCAAAAGTATCCTTAAAAAATAAAAATAAAAAAACATAGTGAAAGAACTAATTGTGTTGTATCATCCTAGTAATAAAGAGGCTCTGTGTTGCAGCAGTATGGCATCTCTGTGGACACAAAATTATTATTTATAGTAAAGAAAATCTAGTTCTTATTTGGCACTCTAAATGTTTTACAAACCAAGTCTTTCATCTCTATTTTACAGACAAAAGTACTGAGATACAGACTGTAAACTGCCTGCAAAAGAACACCCCAAACACTAGCAGTAGAGCTAGGATAAGATTTTGAGACTCGGCACAGAGCAGGAAGCCCATGCCCTGCAAGAGCACCGACATCACCAGGTAAAACTACCAAATGACAGGGGCTATTTATTTGGGGTGGATTTTGGAGATATACTCCGCTCTCTTTCCAGCCAACCACAGTTCTACTACTGGCTTCAGTAGGAACTGAGTTTTAGACTAAGAGATTTTTTTAAGAAACTGCTATCTTTAATACATCTTATGTGTAGCAGCACCTATTATCAAGCTGTAGCTATTTGCCTTATTCACTGTGAGTGAGTCCTACATGGTTACATCTTTAGAGCTGAAAGCCCCTTCTAAATTCTACTTCAGGATGAAATAGTTGCTCTGCAGGCTTTCAAAATCTCCACACTTAGAGATAATGCACCAAACCTATTGTACCAGCAATTTATGTCTTGTTTATGGTGCCATGGTTTTCCTGTGTAAATAATCAGTCAGGATTTGGCCCCCCAAGGTTGTTGTCCTGCTTCCAAAAGGGCAGGTATTTTACTTCAAAGTGCCATGGGTTTTTTCTCCTGGCTGCAAAACAGCCTGAACCTTCACTAATATGGGGAGGCCAGAGTCCCAGTGGAATAACAACCAGCGGGTTGTTAAGAGAGAAAGACCTTTAAAGCTCTCAAACATCTTTTCTCCTACCAACAACGTCCAACGCATCCCTTCCTCTTGGTGCTAAGAAGATGAGGCCCCCACTGCATCTTTTAAAAACAAGGAGAACAACAGCTTCCCATGTAAAATAATTGCTACTAATAAGAATCTGCCTTCCTTTTTTTCCCTGTCAGTTGAACAGCTGCAGACTTCTTTTCAGTCTTGAAGGATGTCATTTTTTAATTACCTCTGTACTGACATTTTGCATATTGGGACTAGTTGTATATGGAAAGAAGAATGGCTGTATCAGATTGGATTGAGTCATCCTCTAGCTAGCCTGGGATCCTGCAACCAAAAAGTGACCAAAACCAGATGCCTAGTTAAGAGCATCAGGACAGGGCAAGCTCTCACTAATACGTTGCCAGCATAGTCATATTTTCCAGCAATCTGCAATCCAGAAACTATCTCAAGCAGAGATGATATTGTGTTTAAGTTCTGTCAGGGAAAAGGGAACATCAGGAGAGGAGACATTGAGTCTAGGTCTTGTACATTCACATGAGTGGTACATTCATTTATTTGATACTGCATTGTTTTCTATTTATTTCACAGTTGGTGTAATTTACACAGTTGGTGTAATTTATGAATTATTTTTCAAAGAGTTCATTCTTGCTACTTGGCCACAGTAGAGAATTTTTATTACAGCATGAAGAATTTGTCTGATCTGATGTCACCTAACTCAGAAGTATTTTCCCATTCACCACATGTCAGCCAACTAGCATTGTTTCCAAAAGATGCTGAAATCAAATTCTGCATGTTTCCTGTTTAAACCTTTATCAAACGTCTCTTTCTTTTCAGAAACAAACAAACAAAAAAAACACTACAAACAAACAAAAAAGCAATGTTTTTTTCAGAAAAACATTTGCATGTTTTGCCAGTTATATACTATTTACTGGAATACTAGGTGGACTCCTTTTTTTCTTCTTTAAGAAGACCTGCAGCTGCTTCTTCAAGTTCCACACAACTAATCCACTAAAATTGGGACAGTATGTTAAAGTTAATGATGTGCTATGTGATTAACTTCCTGACTTACCTGACTAAAACCAGAGTCTAGGAGTAGTAGAAAAAAGAATGTCTCTTATCTAAACGGTCTCATTAGACAAGTGGTATTTCTTGAAGGAAAAACTCCATTCAGTTTACATCCATAGGAGTAACATGTATTACAGGCTTAATTTCAGGAAGGAAAAGTTAGAGTTTTGATTCTCAGCAAGTTATTCATTATGATTTTACATAATAAATTGCACTCACCATTATGGTTTTCTCCTGCATGCTCCAACAGGCTTATATATCAGTATGCATCGCTGCTTAGATAGGGCCAACAATTAAAATCTCACTTCACTTACTTAGAGAACTTACTGCACAAGGACCAATCCTGAAAAAATAAATAATAATAATGATAATAATAATTATTATTATTTATCCAGTTGACTCTCAGGAAACTACTCTCATTTGTAAAGTGAGATAATTGTAAGTCTTGAAGGATTAAAATTCGTAACTCTAGAGGTCTTACTTCAGGCTTTATTCCACGTACAAAATGCACATGTAACTTTTTCATCATTTTGCTGTAATAAAAATCTCTCCTATGTCCACACAGTGAAAGTCATTTACAATGCAATTTGACTTCTCATATATTTCTTTGCTGCCCCTCCTGGTGAGAAATGGAAATGTCCGTGTTAATAGGTTTAACTCATAAGGGCAGCTATGGGCATGTGAAACATCCTCTAGTACTAATCAGAGATTGAGGTATTCTATATTACCATGCTCTGTACAAGCATGTTCCTTAGCATCACAGTGAAACAGAGGACCACCGTGTGCGGATGTGACAAATCTTATGCTGTCAGGGTGAGACCGAGACACTTTTTCCTGTCTCCGACCCTCCAGCATCAGCTTCTGCGTCTCCTAAAGGATGCTGTTTTCCCTGCCACAGGGATCCTGTCAGACTGCCCTGCCCTTGAACTATTTGACTCCATATGAAGGTCTTACAGACTTCCTGCTGCTACAGTTGAGGAAGACAAATGCCCTCCTGACAACTGGAAATGTTAAGAACACAAATATAATTATTCTTTCAGACCTCATTTGGGTACTTTGATTTAAAAAGTATTATTTTCATAACTGCTTTTCAAATATTACCTTCCTGGCTGCTTTGCACATTGTTTTCTTTTTCACTTAAGATGTATTGCTTATGCTGGGAGAAGCTGTGTGGCCCCACGGTTTGAGAACAAGACCAGATGGCAGGAGTTATCACATCCAACATCCAGTTTGCCACTGACGTTACGTATTGCCTTGGGCAAATTGTCTGTTAACACTGCATATCAAGTCCCGTATGCATTTTTGGAAGGAGTAGAGACAGTAATATCTTTCCTGTAGTAATTCTCTGAATGTTTCTTAAAGACTGTACTGAGCACAGGGTGCCCAGCAGAAAGCTGAATCCTTACCTCCCACAACATCCCTGCCTTACCATGAGAGCTGTGTTTGCACACTCCAGCAGATACATCCACCTCTTTTGTCAGTAGACTTAATCAGAAAAATGTAGCACGGGACAGAGGCTGTAAGAGTAAAGTGGAGTAAGCAGGGGGTGAGGTGAATGCTGGCCTGCATCTCACCAACATCATTCTCCCTAGAGGAAATCAAAGAAACATGAGTTTTGCAGACACCAGCCTCTTAGTTTAAATGCCTTCTGTGGTAAGCTTGATTCCAGCTGTTGTTGGATACCTGTGCTTGGGCTTCACATAATTTTTTCCAATGGAATAATTCTGTAAGTATAAAATTAGAAATGTTTGTTATTTTTCTTGGAAGACTTTTTTTCATCATAAAACTAAACACTTCTAACTGCACTTCTAACTGCAGCGTAACTACAAGCCAAACTGTTCTATACGGTCCTGCTGATTTTTTTTTCCTCACTGAAATGGCCTTCAAACATGAAAAGTGTGACGGGGAACTGATCAATATTTGGCACATTCTGCCAAGCAAGCGTCTTCTGCTTGAACACCACAGTTTTTTTAACCTGAAGAACTTCTGTTCTCCACTGCCTATTACCCCTAAACTCAAGTGGCAAACAGAAATAAGCAGGCCATTTTATACATAAAGAACCGGTAAGCAAAGATTCCTGAGTAAGCCACTTTCTTTTTTTATCTTTGATAAACAAATATATTCTTCCATTCGGTTGTACATTTTTCTTGGATAGGTATTGCTGCTAAGTAAAAGCCACGAAGTAAATCTAGGTGTTGTCAGCACACGGATAGCTTTAAGATTAGGACTAAAGCTAAATTCTTTCCCAAAAGAACTAGAAAGACAAACATTCCCCAGCAGTATAGATTGCAGCCTGTGAATTTTTATTAAAACATGTAATCTGACTGAAAATGGAAAACTCCTATTTCTACTTGAAACTAAAGAAGAAGGTATGAATGTCTTTAGGTGAGTTTTTTTTAAGGGTAGTTTCCTTCAAATGTGATTATCAGAAAACCAGCTGAAGGGAGGGTTTTCTGTTGTTATATATTATTCTTGTAAAACAATGTGTTATGGTTGCTTTTATTAAACATTGATCAGAAGGATCAGCCAGGGAGCTAGGGAAATCTCTGTGATAGCTTTCCTATGGGCTGTTTGCTCAGGTGTAGGAAGGGCAGTACTGATGTTTCAAGAACACATTTCCCTGAGTGTTTTTGAAAGAGCCAAAGAAACAATAGTTACATCAGGTCCCTCTCCTCACCTGGCTCCTGTGGAAGCACCTGTATTTAAAATACACTCTGTGTCCTCTCCCAGTGGTGAAGCCAGGAGAATTATTATTGGCAACATTTTCAAGCCTTAGATGTCTAGATTTAAGCATCTAAATATGTGGCTTGATTTTGAAGTACTGAACACACACATACATGCACACAGACATGCGCACGTTTTATTGAAGTCAGCTGGAGACGCTGGGTCATAAACATTTTTGAAAATCAGGCCACTTATTTAACTGTCTAACTATGGATTTATGAGCCTAGCTTCAGACACACCCAAGTCTAGTCATCGGCTCTCACAGATACAGGCGTATTGTCCCAACACTGCACAGTGCAGACTGACTAATCTTTAAGTCCCGTTCCAGAGTCACACTTCTTAAAATTAAGCTCAACAAAAATAAAATTGGGCGAATTATTTCCATATATTAAAACCAAGGATTATTATTTTTTTTAATCCTGGAAGGGAAAGGATTTGAACCTTTCTCTGCAGTAACTGGAACCTAAATATTGCAGCCCTACTGTTAGCTAGTGAGAATCAGAAAATCAGATTGATTTATTGTCCAATTTTCTATTTTTCTTTGAAATATTACAGTGTTTACTGAAGTCTGTGGGACAGCTTGTGATTATTGCTTATAAAGAACAAGGGGATCGCCAGACAGCCCTCGCTGTGCCACAGAAGTGTTATAATTACACACTGCTTTCTACTCACAGCTTCGGACAAAAATGTGACCTTGCCTCAGGGACATTAAAATGGAACACTGAAACCAGTTTTACTAAAATCTTCCTGTGAAAGCTGATGTGGGATTGGTGCAATGCTGCTGCCTAACACCTGAGCAAGAGTTTGTCTGCAGTGCCAGTTCCTACCAGCCTCTGAGGGCAAGGCTTTCGCAGTGCTGCAAGCAGGGGTTTGCTTTGGAGCCTTCTTTTGTGTCATAAACTCTCAGTCAAAAAACTTGGGTCAGGGAAGTGTACAAAACCATTTCAGTCACCACACATCTCTGACATTGTTCAAATACATTCAATGATCTGCTTCCATCACAGTTGACAACGCAAAAATGACAAAATTGACCCAAAGAAAGACTCCATAGACTCCTGTGCTGGTTTTGTTTTGGGATTTGCCTTTTTTATTATTAGTTTTTTTTTGCTTTGAGGCTTTTTTCTCTTTTTTTGGATCACAGCAGCTGGAATTTGGTTCATCAAGTATTGCTGTAAAGAATTTCCTTTACTGATAACAATGCAGAACAAATTCAATTTCTTCTTCTCACTCAGTGCAAGGATCTGTGTGTTCTCAAGAACTAGCACATTTCAGAGTCAAAGGTGGTCCAGAAAGCATGTATCCACAAATAGATGTGTCTGTTTTCATTTAGCAAGGTATATTATGGTTTAGTTTATTCTCTCAGGTAGCCTTAGACTGTCTTTTCTCTTACGCTTTTTTTTTCTTTGTAATAGAGTATCACCAGCAAAGGCTAGATAGAGTAAAGCAGAACAACTTGGTGGGCGGTAAAAACACTCAACCATGTAAAGCCTAACATTATTTTGATTCCAAATGTTCTCTTTTAGAAAACAATTTCTAAAACAATTGCTTCTGAGCTGGAAAAGACACAAAGGCTATCGCTTGATCTTTTAGTAAAATCTGGTAGCAAGGTCAGTGGAAAGACAGAAAGCCATCCTGGACAAGCACAATTCTCTTCGCCTCTTTCTTATTACCTAACTTGCAAACATTGGATGGATGCAGCCCTTTTGAATCTTTACAGAGTACAGATTTGTTTTTACGATGGTGTTAGTCTACATTTATACTACTTAAGCGAACAGAATCACACACTCTGTGTTTCACTGAACAAAGTTCAGATTCAGGTGTTGTGGCTGATACAGTCACAAATTCCCCTTCCCACAGAAGCTGTTCAGTACAGAGGGCCCCCTGTGGCTGCAGCTAGCTGGACTATAACTTTTGGTCAGATCTGAAATGGTTCTTTTCTCCCTACAAGACAACTTTGTTTCCTCTGCCTTTTCAGCATATTGTTTATAAAGCATGATCTAAAAAGATGTGAGTGCTGAAAATAAGAGCTATAATGCAAACCAAGGAAAGATTTCTGATGGATGAGTCCACAGAAAAAAATGTTTTAGTGAATGTCAGCAGCGTTCATGTTCAAGCTCCTAGAAATATCCTAATTTGATTTTTAAGAGTCCAGGTACTCTCAATTCTATTTTTAGTTCTAAAAATTCCCAGAAACACACCTTTAACACAGAACTTCTGCTGATACTCCTTTTACTCCACTGCAGGGTGGGTATCTCTACTATTTCCATTGTCTAGCTTTCTTTTTCTCATTCTTTGTGGTAGTTATGCAGTATATGTTTTCCTAGGTGCTCCCTACCATCTCCATAAACAACAAGTAAGAGACTAAGTGGGGACAGATTGGTAGCCACTTTAGTCACAGAAAAGAAATAGCAGGGGAAACTAAATTTAGCCCTGAAAATCATAGAAGTAGACAAATAAAGGAGGAACAATTCCAAGTGAGGAGTGAAATGTGCATGCCAAGACTGCAAGGGAAAACTGGGAAAACGCTTTCTACAGACACCCAGTAACAAAAGCTTCAGTCAAAAGTAATGGGAGATTCCCCATTCACTTAAACAGTAACAGTGGCAGGGCCCAGCTTTCTGGACAAAACATCACAACAGTGTAAAAAGGTGCTTTTCACAAGTAGACAAATTGTTCCTCTCTTACTGGTCTTAGAAGGAAAGGGTGAGCAAACAAGTTGCAATATAGAACAAAGGAACCAGGACACATCTACGAGTACCATTAGATGTCTGGTTGCTGGCTAATGATGACTTTTTGCTTCGAAATGTATAAATGCGCTATCATTTAGCTTCCCGCCATGATTCCGTTCCCTCTTTTTTTTTGCCCGCAGTTCGCTCTACATTCAGTGTCATCACCTGGCTCCTTTCTGACAATTGTCCTGTTTTGACCACAAGGATAAGGAGACGGACATCTGCTTAGCTCCTCGCTTAGAAAGCTAGAGGCCTACAAGAAGGTAAGGTAGCTTGTGTAGCAAAGAAAACCTAAACTTGAGAGGTGAACAGTGATGGTGATGGCACTCTGCAAAGAGTAAGGGAAACGAGACAGAAGCATGGGTAAATGCAGAGTTTAAATTCAAATCACTTTGATTTGATTTTATTTTTTGTTTCACTCATGCAAACAATTAACATATTGGTATAAGGTTACCTCTGGTACTTTCCATCACATAAACAGGCTGTCTCACAGTCTGGGAATGATCTGGGAATCATCTGAAAAGTAGATCATTTGAAATAATTGTGCCAACCCTGGACAGTGAAGCAGTAAGAAAATTTAGATTTGTGAGGAACAGAGGGTTTTGAGCTAGTCACACTATAAAAAGATATTAAATAATAACCAAAAAATGCATAGGAATTAGAGATTGTGTGGGAAGATGAGATGTAAGAAGGGGCATTTGAGGTGAGAAACAAATCAACATGTTTCTAAGATCTGGAAGGGTACAGTGTGCAAAGTAGATTAACCATAACAGGATTTTCAGTCCCTGGCTACCTTCATAAATAAGGATCTCATTAAAATGAAAGAAAAATTCACATCAGATATTTTGGGCAGCAGGACAGAGGTTGTTATTCAGGCATACGTACCTGCAGGTCTCATGAAGTACAAAGCCATTTGTGATATGAGCAGGAGAGGGACCTTGTTGTTGCTGCTGTTTTCTTGTTGATTGTTGTTTAAAAAATTACAAAATTGAAAGATTTCATGAGTTCAGTTATGAGTGTAACTTTTGTTTAGAAAGTATCGCATGCACACATGCAAGATAGTGTGAAGAGGTCTGGGATTGATGTGAAGTAACAAAGGATTTGAGGGACAAGATTGGTTATGTGCTTGCATGTTCATTACTGGGAGAAGTAGGCTTTGTGACAGAAGCTCCACTTATGAGCACACCAGATTTGGTACAAACAAAGTAAAAGAAAACCAAAAATATCCTTCCCCAAGAAACTCTAAATCTTTGTTTCTTGGCCAGGTGTAGTATGGAAGTCTTTAGAAAGCATTTAAAGTTAAACAAACTAAATCCTGTTTCTTATAGGCTTCTTAGCAGATGGAATTTTGTAAATGGACCTTGGATAGAGCGTTAATATAAACCTTAACCTGCTTCACTTCCACCTTGCATATGATGTGGTAGGAAGATACTTTTCACCATCATTAAAAATGAGGCACATAAAACTATCTGCTTCTCCATGTAGAACAGAAAATACACTGATTTCTTTCTCTTTATCTAATCCTCCCCGTGTCCAGTCCTCAGCAACACATTACAGTATTGTCAATTTTTTGTCCATTATTTTCTTAAAAACACGTTTTACCAAAATCTGGTTTTCCGCAGCATAGTATTGATTTGAATCCTGAATGCAAATGTGAGTAAATTGAGCTTTTCCTTTTTTTCTTACACACATGAAGAAAACTAGAAATCTGTAAACTAAACTTTGTATAACAGTAGACCAAGTATGCTTTTTTCATTTTACTGAACCGTCTCTTGTGGATCACACTGAAACTTGTGGACTCCTTCTCATATGAATTTGTTTTTCCAAAGAACAGCTATTCAACTGAACTGCTGCTCTTCTCCAGAGACGCTAACTCATACAGTGCTTGGTCCTTCTGAGAAGTCATTAGAAGTGTATGAATCTGAAGTTTCCCTCTTCTTTGCCATAATAGTAGCAACTAAAAAACTCACAAACTGCAATGGCTCCCAGTTTCTCTCTGCCTTCACCAAATTCAGAGAGGGTCTGCCACTGTTCCCATTCAGCTTCAGCTTTTTCAGCTTCTCAGTGCTTATGCTATCAAATGATGGTGTGGAGAGGAAAGGATATCCTCCCTCCAATGATTCAGCCTAGCATGGTAGGGTTGAGGTGAGATTTGTTTAAATACCTTTTAACACTGGAGCTTCATCTGCCCTTGGGAATAATGTAGTGAAGGGATTTTACCTCATTTGTTTCCATGGACCATAGTGCTTCAGGGATCAAAATCCTTTTGGGGAACAGTGATACCAATCCTCAGTATAGACAATGCAACAGATTGCATGCAGAAGTCAGATAACAGGCAAAAGGATGTTGTTGTGCACACCAACCAAAATATGGCTACTTGGCATACAAAAAGCCTGACACTTACCATGTGTGCTTTGCTGGTAAAAGAATAGTTGATATTTTTGATTCTATATGGCAATGTGAAGTTATTGCTGTGAAATATCAAAGTCACTGCCTGTTTGAGAGGACAGCAGAAAATCCGTATGCTTCAGTTTCAGGCTGCACATATAAATACATTGCCAAATTTACAAAACACACTGTTGATAGTGCTCTTTTAGCTATGAGTTCTGTAGATACATGATGGCATCCTGGCCACAAAAGTTGAAGTCTGGGGGTTTTGATCATTTACTTAAAGACAGGCTTTTAGCATCTGAATCACAACTTACATGAGGTTTTGAAATAGCACATAAATAGTCCTCAGAAGAGAAATACAATTCTGTTCTCACTGCTCCTTGCTCATTCTTTCCTGCAGTGCAGTCCTATATGGACCCTACTAGTACCTGTTCTTAGAGTTCCTCTTGCAAGAATTGTTGTGTGCTTTAAAGATATCAGGCAAAAGGCTCCAAAACCCATTCTCCTTTGACTTAGTGTTATTTTGAAAGACTGTAACTACATAGGCATGAACAGACCTTGTCCTTATCAAGATCAGGCCTAGAAGGTAAATTACGTTAGAGCTGCACTGCAGTCCAGTAAAGCCAGTGGATTTGCAGCAGTGTAACTTAGAAATGAATGTTCATTTATCACTCCAGCATGGACTGTCTCCAGTCATTGTTTTCATCTGCTGCTGCTTCTGAGCCATCAGCTCCTTCTGCTTGAGAATGTTTAAGTCCTTTGTTTTCTTCACCACCTAAACTCTATCCAACGGGCAACACGTTTTCCCTTAGATATTTAATATTGATTAGGTAAATGAATTTTAAATTTTAGAACTATGAAAATTTGGAAACATCTGCAGACATTGAATAAAGTCTGTTTTCTTTTGCAGTCTGCTAACAGCTGGAATCCCCAGCCTAAAAGCCTTCTTTGTTTCCCAGGTTTCCATTACACATTTTTGTACCACACATGCAAACTATCCAGGCCTGTGAAGGAGGGACAATTCTTATTTTTATGAAAGATGTTTGCCATTTTCCATTCTGCACTCTTTAGACCTCTAGTTGTCTAATAAATGTTGTTAAAGACATTCCTATTTTTCCCTCTGCAACTATATTTTTAGTACCGATGCTGGGCCAAAGCTTGGTTTTGTACCAAATTTAATCCTGTCACACAGTTAACTTCAGCAGGGTTTCTCTAGATTTGTATGAAGGCATGATAAATTTAAAATGCAGAACTAAACTTATTTGTCGTTAATCTCTTCTGTCTAAGCTGTAGAACAAATAGAGCATGTATTAACCATGGGACCAGATAATCATTTTGTCAGTAACATTGGTGAAGAGCTTTATCTTCCTTTTTCTTCCTTACATGTGTAAACATGAAGTATGTCAAGGTGAAGATTTATAGATCTTACACCGGAACCTTTTATTGAGCATTATTTTTGTCTTGGTGTGTGAACTTCACTGATGTTCCCCTAATCTTCCATGATTAGGTCCTATCAAAGACTGGTCTTTAATGGCATGCTGGACATATTAGCGTATGAAATTCTTCTGTAATTAAACTGATTAAATAGGTGAGTCTTGGTTTTGAGTACTGATCAGTATTCTGACCCAAAATGCTTGGCATAATGGCAGTATTCTGACCCACCTGGTCAATGTTTTATTTTGTCCAAGGTAACAACATTCTTTTCAACATGCAGTATCTGGTGAAGGGATTCTCAAGTATAGATACAGATACCTAGGAAACAGAGTGATCTCCACTTCTTAGAGTTATAAGACATGATTTTCAAACCCGGTAGTAAAATCACAAGATTGCATTTTAATATGTGGACAGTCTTTGTAACGACAATTGCAATCCTACACTCATAGAAAAAGTGAGGAACTGCAGAAGGTTACTTAGTCTACCTTTTATGAAGACAAGAGGAACTACTCTCTGCTGTACTCTACTTTTAGCCATTCCTGACAGAAACATATCCAGCTTGATACTAAAAATGTTCCATGAAAATTCTGCTGCCTTTCCATGCCACATATTCCAATCTTAAATAATCTGATGCTTTGAAAGATTTTGAAATGTTCCTGTGTCTCCTCTTTTTTCCTGTTATAGTGTACTATGCAGAACAACAGCATAGGCCTCCTATTTGCCATAACTCCTCACTTTTTAGAGACCGTCCCTTCAAAATATTTTTGAATAGGCAGACAAAAAGATTATGGTAATCAAGATGTATTGACTAAAATGCAGGGCAGCTTGGATTCAAAGAACTGTCTTCTGATGATTGTATCTGATGATATTTGAAAAGACCTAGCACAAAAACAAATAGACATTTGTCATTTATCTATGCCATACTTTTAGTGGGATATTGAGCAACTAAGATGTCAGATTTTTGAATGAGAATAGCATATACTTGTGGCCTGACTCCTTAAAAGACAGGTTTTCTGGAATCCTAAAATTATTTCCACTGAAGGCCAAGGTTAAAGACTGGATGCTGCGTTGTTTTTTTTTTTTTTTATCAGCATGGAACTAATTTGTGCTGGAACACTAAACTTCCATCATTCAATTTGCATACACAATCCCTTAATGGCATTGACTGCCCATACAAGTTCAAACACTTTTAAAAGCAAAGCTGTTTCGGTATTATTAAGTGGATATGTCAATTTATTAACATCATATTTAACCTTCCCTTTCTGGAACATGAGATACCTCATTTCAAAGTGACATTTTCAAAAGGAATCTTGTGTTCACTTAGCCAATGAAATGATCTCCATGATTATTTTCATCCATTTAACTTTGTAAAATTTCCTCCTCATATTTTAAAGTCTTCTGTCTCTTCTACCTCTTTACATTGACGCTATTTTTTCTT